CCATGGCTTAGATTTATTACCCGTCAGGGTTATATTTAAAGATGTATAAGTACTGAAGGCTACAATGTAGGAAATGATGGTATTTAAAATATGAAAATTTCCGTGACAGAACACTATTAGTGGACCTCTTACCTCTATTTTTGTTTGTGACCAAAATCACCAACATGAAGTATCAAAAACTACTACTAGTATAACTCAACTAATCAGTGGCGTAACAATCAAAGTGCGGGCCTGTGTTCTATAACACTGTGGGGCCCCTAATGAACAGCGAAATAAAAATATTTAAAAATACCAGTATAATGAGTAAAGTATGAGTAGACTGCAATTAGGGCTTACGTTTTATTAAAATTATTCTACCTGAAACACTGAATTAAAAAAACAAAATACAATAATTACCTGAATACATATAATTAAAATATATACAATTATACATATTAGAAACTAGCCAACCCGGTAAACGTTGTTTTGGCATTTCTAGTGAACATTTTGGTAGTTAAATAAAAAATTAAATTAAAATAAATACACAGATAATATAATTAAATTAAATTATAAATTATACATAAAAATTTATCCTACGACAATGATTATATTCAATAGCCATCTTGCAACCCTATTGCGCATCTGTGGATGAAAGCAAAGATACTCATATCGTTATTAAAAAATGGGGGTTGGTGGTAGAAGGGTGAAAAATTACGGTTATATGTATTTTTTGGTACCAAATCTTAAAAAAATAAAAATAAAAAAATTTGGTGAGCCACCCTTATCACTTAGGGGTATAAAAAATATTTTACTAGACCTACCGAATAAACACAAAAAATTTCATAAAAATCGGTCAAGCCGTTTCGGAGGAGTTTGGTTACAAACACTGTGACACAAGAATTTTATATTAGATTATTTTAGAACAAATTTCATTACCATAAAAATGGTTATACTAAGTCGACCTTAAAAGATAGACATATGCTGTCCGAGACTTTTCTTTAGAACTTTTAGAAGGGAACAATTCCATCATACATGATTTTTATGTAATTTTAATCGTTTAAGCAGCGTAAGCAACAGAAGCTGTCAAAAGAGGAATAATTTTCCCGTTTTTCCGATATTTTTCATTGCTGCTCCACTCCTATTGATTGTAGCGTGATGTGTTGTAACCTATAATCTTCCTCGATAAATGGACTATCCAACACAACAAGATTTTTTTAATTGGAACCAGTAGTTTCTGAGATTAGCGCGTTCAACCAAACAAACTCTTCAGCTTTATAATATAAGTTAGTATAGAAATGTAGATAAAAATGCCCATTTTTTTTTAATCTCAAAATTGTTTTCTTCTTATTTTCCAATGGGCACAAGTTAATACAAAATTTGACACATTTAAGCTTCTGGCAATTTGATTTCCAATTGAGAGATTCAGTGAAGATAATCTGCATTGAGCCATTGTGTTTCTTAAAAAATTTTTACTTTTAGTCATTTTTAATTTCGAAAAAGATCTTTCCGCTGAAGCCACCGAAAGAGGTATGGTAAGAAAAGTGAAACTGCTGTGATAATTTCAGTGAAACTAGTGCAGGTAGATCATTCTGTAATAATTTCCCAGTCCAGTTTTTTTTTACTTAAATTTTTTTTCACGTCTTATTACAGCATGAAGTTTCACTGTAGATCTGAGGACAAAATTTAAGTATTTTGTTGTCTTGCATCATAAATTAGTCATACTTTTGTCGGATAAAGATTGGTAATTTACTACATAGGGTGTTAGATTTGCCACAATGGGATTGCGACACTGCGACAGGTTTATTAGAAACAGATGCTGCTGCATTTTTGACCGCCGATGCCGGTCGCTAAAACCCGGATTTATTGAGTCTATGATATTGAGATGCCGCCAAAAGTCCAGCCCTTTGCAGCAAAAAATTTGTAAATAGTACTAAATAGCAATGAACGATTGATCCTGGGATTACCGCACATTTTCGAATTTTTTATTTCGGGATGTAATTTGGGCAATAATATAAAAAAATCTAAAAAAAAAATGTTCGTGTGACCGGACCGGGCCCCTTGAAGCAGCGGGCCCGTGTTCCGGCGAACACATGGAACACCGGTAGTTACGCCACTGCAACTAATAACTACTGAAAAAAAAGTGAAATAAAAAAATATATCTGTATCTGCGCCATTAATTTTGTATCTAGATACAGATATTTTGTGCTTAAACTCGATTTTATCTAGATACAGATACTAGATACCCAAAAATATATCTAGATACTTTGTTTAGAAACAAGTATCTAGCAGTGGCGGCTCGTGACTGTCTGATGTGGTGAGGCGATGATAGAAGTTTGACAATAATAGTAATATTACTTGGTCTTACTAGTTAGTAATGATAGAAGTCTTGCCTGAATACCGGTCATTCCCCGGTCAGTGGTAGGTCCTAATAATAATAATATTAACAATAACACCCATAACACATTGAATCAACAATGTTTTTACAAGTCAAAATTTTGTTGAAAGTAGCACTTTCTTGGAGGGATTCGGGAATATTTGTTGTATTCTTTTCTAAACGTTTTAAGACCATGAAATTTTTAATGTGTACTTTGGAACTTTCATGTAACTTTGCACTTCGGATGAAATTCTTTAAATCGTTATATCCCGGGATGTTGTGTAAATATTACGGCAGAGCCATTTATATGTTTCGTAGGTACCAAGTTGATTTAAAAGACTTGGAGTACTGACGATTCTGTTGCTTATCAATGGAAGTTAAATGAATTAACGGTTTTGACTGCTCGATATTTAGCAAAATTTGCCGACGTTCTAGCTCGGTTCGCCGTGAAAACGGCGTTTCAAGAAGCAACATGACGATATCGTACTCGGGATTCATTTTTCACTCACCTATACCAATGAAAGAGACAATAACACAAAACACCAACACGTGGGATTTTATTCATGTTCATGCTAATTACCCACGCACCCCGCAACCCTACCGTTCTGTAAAATAAATGGAAAAATGGTTTAAAGAGTACGCCGAAATTGGCCGAGAAGCACCGAAGATATCGCCTCAGTTCCGAGCGAACGCATGTATAGGAGTATAGGAGCTGAGCCATGGAAATCCGTGTCTGTGATTGGGCTTCGCTGGTTCAAGTGAACCGACATTCTGGCCGCTTCAGTTAAAGAGCTCGGGGCATAAATCGTACGGTATTCAACGGAAAATGTCAGCAGGAAGCGTAAAAAAAAATATGTACATATTTCCCATTTCAACATATTTTTGTAACTAAAAATGCATTGAAAACTCTTTTTTAATTATAAATTAAGTCAATCTGTTCTTAAAATATATGCTGTGAGGCGCCGCCTCACTTGCCTCATCTGACGAGCCGCCACTGGTATCTAGATACTGCCCAACCCTGATTATGGAACCAATTTGGATATTTTGCAAATAGTTTCATGATATGTCTTAACAGACTGTTTGAAGATTCCTTAGTTTTGACAAATCTAAGTTCTCGAGTTCGATCCCCTCATGGGCCACTTTATTTTTTCCTATATTAGGCTATATTTCTTTTCTAAAACACAAGATTTGTATGATTGTACTTCAGGTGCTAGGGAAGTACTGCACAATAAGAGAAAGCCTTTTCTATGTAAAAAAGACCACCTATTATGCAAAATTCATCTTTTGAATTAACATGTCAACGATTTTTATGTTTATTTCTTATGATGGAATGCACCAGACTTTTATTGTCGATATGTATTATTTAGTGACGCTAAAGTGGTCGTCCGTTCTGAGTCGAGTATTGCTCGTAAACGGATTTATTACTCATTTTACTAGTATTTGCGTAATGAAACCATTTGTTCGTTACATTTTACGTCAGTCGACATATTAATCATAATATAACTGGATATACAGGTGGCTCAATTAGCCCACGGTCTTCGATATCTCATTAAAATTACAGACCAATACAATTATTTTCGACTATACAGAGTGTTTTGTTTTCGAGATATGGCACACAACTTAGTTTTCTCAAAAAAATAATACACGACATATTTTTACATATTCTTATTACAACCATAGCTTATTTTTGAAATTCCGATGCAACGTTGCCATGTTATTCCAATTTTTACTTCGCAAGCGTAAGCTAAGTATTGTAATAGGGTCTATCCGACGAATCGCCACTTCCATGTTTTCTCGACGTTCCAAAACCCATACAGTGCTAAAAAGTACCTCTCGCGTTTTCGTCTGTCTGTCGTCTGTCGGTGTTGGTTTTTATTAGATAGTTGTGAAGACATCAAAACTTTCATCAAAAATCGATGTAATGAAAGCAAGGATACTTGTGTGGAAAAATTATCGCGCAACGGAGAAACACAATCTTTTTGTGTGGGAGTTGATTTTGCTTCAAAGGGCCTTGTTATGAAAGCTGACTTTAGGCCATCAGGAGTCATAGTAGAAGATTTAATCTTAGCAAAAAAAATCAAGTTTTGCGAACTACTTGAAGGATACCTACATCTATTTTCTCAGTTAATAACAGCACTTGTTTAAAATTTTACTATCAGAATGTGAGAGGTGTAAATACTAAAATAGGTACCGTTTACTCTAATATGTGCATCAGATGATGAAATTATCATATTAACCGAGAGCTGGCTAAAGGACGAAGTGGTTTCTACTTTAATTGTGAATTTAAAAATACCCATTGTATTAAATTGTTGTTTTATACATTATAGATCCACGTTAGAATATTCTAGAATATTGTATGCTCACCCTATCACCAATACGCAAACCTTGGCCATTTTAATTCCAACACGACGCGCTAACTTTAAACGGGCCAAGTTGACAGGTGGTATGAATAATAAATTCTTGTACACTAAAAACTTTTAGAATAAACTTAAAACAAAAGGCAATTTTTGAATCAAAATGAAGTACTATTTCCCAATTTTATTTGTATCTTCTAGTTTATACTATTTTAATTTGGATTTTTAATGATATAGCAAAAATTTAGGTAAACAAACGAAAGGATAATGAAATGCAGAAATACTAAAATTGTTTATTGCATTTTGTTGAACATATCTTCTGAACCACCATCATCAAGTTTTATAGCTCTGATCCGATGCTGTAATGTTCGGATACTGGGGTATGGCAAATTCTGTCTTTTCACTTCCTTATATCCTTTGGCCCCACAGGCCATATATAAGCGAAGTCCCTTATTTATTGACTCATCAGACCATTCCACACCCCTGTGGCCTCCCATTTCAAGATAATGTAGTTGGGCGTCACTAAACACTTTTTTAAAATTTCCTTTGAGATTGTTCATTTTATTCTGCAATTGACGAATTTTGCGTTGTGCAGCTTGCAGTTCATTCTGCAGATGTTGAAATTGTAAATTATTTGCAAAATTTAAATCCCCTGTTGTGGACTCAGCTGTATTTGGACTTTTTTGCATGGAGTTTTCCAGTACATTGGTCACAACTTCAGTAACTATAGAACAAACTAAGTTAAAAAAAAAACTATTTTTGAATTTTTAATAAAAAACTTACCCAAAGGTCCCTCTGTATCAACCGAAGAAATCTGGGCACTTTCTGGAATTCTACATTTCAAGGTGGGAACAGCGTTCCACTTCAACAGTTTTCGGCCATCTGTTCTCTGCGTTTCAAACTGTGTTTCTTCAAAATGTGCCTTTAACAATAATTACACGTTACCCAGTATTACGAACAACTTTAACCTAATAGAAAATAAAAAGTGGGAAACACGTCGTTACATAACCTCAATACTTTCAATTCTAAACAAAACTATACTCACCTCACAAACACTTGCTCTTGCCGGCAATTTTTTTCTGTTGATGAATTTTATCCAGGCATTCTTCCTGTTGGCACTTATTTTTCCACTCGGCAGACTAAAAAGTCGAAAACCTTTTTCACTCCTATTGTTACAGTTAGCGATACAACAACCCGGCATTATTCACTTATATAAATCCCACTAAATAATATTATATACATATATATGCACGCACTATACACACATTCGAGCTCTGTTTTTGCAACTACAAGCAAAATTAACTTTCTTCCAGCTGATGCCGAGCCGCCATTTTAACTCCAAGGTAGTGACTAAAGCAACTGCGGAACACTCTCTACAGAGACAGTACTGCGCGTTATAGCCACTAGATTACATATAGTAGCGACATCGGGTCACTAACTGGTCCCACTAGTGCTGCCAACTTAAAATCCAGGCGAAAAATGGGACCTCCTTTAAATTAAAAATTGTGTAAAATTAAAATTTGATACACAAAACAGGAAAAATTGTTCCTATTAATATATTTATATATATTAATTATTGATTTTAACGCAAATCTAGTGGCTATACTGCGCGTTGTATATAGCCGACATCTAGTGCACGTTGAAAACAAGTGCGTTACGGCGCCAAATATAAATAAGTTGTCAATCTCATTCTCGTTGACATTTTCTTTTTTTTTTATTCAAATCAAGAACGGTTCACCCCAATTTAATGATTTAATAATTTTAATTCTAATAACAGCTCCTCAACCAGAATAATACTCGGATCGGTTTGCCCAATTGTAGTTTAATTAATCAGTGCTGTCCTTTCCTGTCTAGTTTAAGGAGACAAAATCAATCGAATTTCATTTTCTTTTAATACAAGCATGTAGTGCTTGTAATGTGAACGTGTTTGTATTCGAATTATTTTGAAGGATAAATTACGTAAAACCACCCTGAAAAATTTCGCAAAACCACTTTAAAAATTATTAATTTAACTAGAGATCGTTATTTTATTAAAGAACCATTCACTATTGACACATGATCTACAAATTAGCAAAAAAAAAAGAAGACAAATAAACGCAGAATTAAATTTAATTTAACAAAATTTTTAAGGCGAGATATTAAAAAAAGACAAATTTTACAGTAAGATGCAGTAATAAAAAAATCTTTTTTCGCCAGCCGTCTTAAAAGATGTCACTTTTAACGTCAATTTTGGACGGAAAACTTGACGTTTTTGTGAGAGTAAAAAAAAGTTGCGTTACTAAAGTAACAACGTCATTTTTGCCTTTTTAATCCTAGCATTAATTTTTTTTTTTCATCCTAGCCTTAAAAAGTTTTCAATTGTTTTATTTTGAGAATGAAATGCTATTAATATTTTCCAATTTTATTATTAACTTACATTGTTATTAATTATTTAAATTTTAAAATTAATATTGAATGTACAATAAGAACAACTGCGATTGATTTGGATTAAAGATTTTCCGTCACTATTATCATTTTTCATGCGGTCAGTAATAATATTTTGCGCTAACACTTCTACCGCTCCTGCTGTCTGGTTGGTCACAGTGTCAAAATTCAGGTTTACTGCTCCCACATTCCTACTTATTCCGTCTTCACGTGTGATCATTCTATTCGTAGTTCCACTACTTGTACCTGATTCTTCTAGGTTTACTTCGCTCACATTCCTATTCGTTGCGTCTTCATGTATTTTACTTGTGGTTTCACTACTTGTACCTGGTTCTTCCAAACGAAAAAAATTTCAAATACTTTTCCCCCATAACCGTAAATGATCTGGGTTTTTTCGTTTTGGTATCAGGAATTTTTACCAATAAACCTGCTTTAATATTTTCAATATCTTCAGTTTTTATTTGTAATAGTTCGTGACACCGACAAGCTCCGCTAACGCCAAAGATTACAACAATCTGAAAAAAATTCGTAAAATAAATATAAGCTCTTCATTAGGTTATAAACATACTTTCATCATCAGGAATTTGAAATCCGGAGCCGTGTCTAAGAAAACTTCTATTTGTTCATTAGTTAAAACCCTTGATTTCTTTGGAACGTATCCTTCTCCTTGTTTCTTTATAAACGCTTTTAATTTTGAATACTTTCCGATTTCTATGCCATTTTTTATGTTTAAAGTTGCTTTCACCATAGAATAGTGCGACCACAGTGTGGATGACTTCATTTTTGTAGCCAATTCGGAAAAATATACCAATAGGACGTTCTCAGAATAAGTTTGAATCTTTTTCCCTTCGCACCATTTGATGAAGCGGGTATACGCGCACTCATACACTTCGCGCGATTTTGTTGGTAACAAGTTCAGTACCACGTTTTGTGCTTCTTCTAGCACATCGGGAGGTAACTCTTCTTCAGGATTCATTATTAACACTGCAAACGTTTTCACAAAACAATGGTATGTAAGCAAACAAAAAAAGCCTTGACGACGTGGATACCAGACTACTTTGCAGATTGATTCATTTCTGCTCGATATTATTGTTATCAATATTTTGTATTTTTGAGATTTACTTTTTGGCTGGCGAAAAAGTAGTATGTTTCATTCGGATTAAAAGTCAGTTTTTGACTCGCAATTTTGCATCCGCTCGGCTTCGCTTCGCTCCGCCTCGCAAATGCAAAATTTGCTCGTCGCAAAAAATGGCACTTTTAATCCTAATAAAACAATCTACTATTTATAAACACTGTATATTAAAAGTTTATTTTGTATAGCAGATGACATCGTAACAAATATCAAAGAAAAAATCAGAGAAGATGGCTATCTAGTTTTCAACGTTAAATTTTGTTAAGAATTAAGATTTATTTTGAAGAATAATCTGCAGGTAAGATGAAATGTTAGGATTGATAATTAAACCATAGTTAAGATTTATTTTAAAAATATTGATATGAAAATGTTGGTTAAATATTTATCTTCTTGGAGAATATCTTAGTGTCTAGTCAAAAAGTCTAATAATTTTGGAAATTAGATGTTGAAATGTGATGAAGCTATTTTCATAGTAACTAATGCGTCTCATAAAGTAGTAAATCTAGACTAGATCAGATTCTAATTATGTACTCTACATTGATCACCAGTTCCTTAACACCTCAGTTTCATTTCAGATCGTATTAGAAGATGAAGTTTATCAACCACTGAGAAGATCTAAAGGACTTTACAATAGAAATTGATATCATATCTATATTTATCTTAAAAGATTGTGCTTCCAGTTTTGCTAAACATTTGTAGCATCTGAAAAAAGCAACTAATATACCAGACTTGAAAAGCTATACCTACTCCACAGTAATTTGGATGTCCGAAATTTTTAGTTTTACTGCTTGAATCTTGTCATACTGGAAGAGAATTTTTAGGCAAATATTGCAACTTCATGTCAAAGTCTGGTATACTAAAAACATCCAAATATTAACACCTTTTACGTGTATTAATGACACTGTCGATCATATGCTTATGTCGCTAGAACATAAGATTAGTTAAAAATATATAACTTTATTCGTTAATTTTTTTGGTCATACTTTTTAAGTAATTCCCAAAAATAAAAGTGAATAATGAAAATGCAAGCAGAGCATATTTTTTAACACACTTAGGAAGACATAATATTTTTAGTAATGAAGGGGATAAACTGAACATTTTTAGTCGCTTACCAAGATGTCGAGGGGTTATTGATGTAAACTGGTTTTAAAATAATGAAAATACCACCACATGTCATGTAACTATAATGGTCTACAAATACAAACTTGTTTTTTTTTTAGTTTTTATTAAACAAATTCCAAATAAACTTTTACAAAACCATAGTTGGGTTCATTTGAATTTCACAAGCGAGAATGTCGGCTAGATTTGTGCAAAATTCAATAAAATTTCATTCAGCCAATTCAGGATTCACATAAATTTTATACAGTAGGTTTTCGTTCCACAAACATGATCATTCAATTGGAATAATGAGACTGCTAGTATTCACTCAGTTATAAATGTTATAATTTATTTTAAAATGAGGCAAAATTATAGTCGATCTAAAATTTGTTCATCAAGTTTGCCATTTGTTGTCAAAGTGTCATCACTGGCTTCACTGGTGGAAAATTAATAGGGATTTAAAACATGTTAAAATTAAAATTATCTAAAAAGTACTTTTATCAAGATAACTAGATTTAGTGTATGATACGACAAAAATTACCAGAAAGCTAATGCAGTTACGAAAATTGTAAAAAAATTTACCTTGACGCTTTAGCGATTTATAATGTACATTCATGTACGTATATTTTTAAAATATAAGTCTGTCTTTTGCTCATTTTGGAAGCTTTACTATCGAAGAAGTGAAAATGAATAATACAAAAAATTTTGTTCAACAAGAGTTAACGCCATGTTGTAAAATGTCGACTTCATTTAATTGCTTTTATTCTTTTTAGCGACTCCGAGGAAACTGCTGGTTGTTTTTGTTTGTACGTGCGTCCCTGTCCTCCAGATGTCGAAAACGATAAACGATAGAAACAAACGGTTTTCATTAGCGGATGCTCTTTCTAAATTTCTCTAATAAATTTAGGATAAAAGTTTCGTTTTAAAACTTTCAGTTAAACAGGAAATTCGTCAAAAAAGAACTTTCAATTTGTAGAATTGCACAGTATTTAATTAATTTAAGGGTTAGCTACTTAGAATGATTCATTTATTCAATAATTTGGTGCTTGTATTTTGTTTCTTAAAAGAAAATGAAATTGACATGATGACATCTAACCTAAAAAAAATTTGATAACACCTTTTTTTGCCTAACATGTTTTGAAAACTAGAAAATACGTTTCAAACTTAACAGTCAAATTTTAACATGCATTGGCTATTTAAGGCATACACGTCTGCTCTACGTCGGCATCCTGTCATTGTACAATCTGTTCAAAGTGGTATTTTTTTAAGCATCGGAGATGTAATTTCGCAAGTTATAGTGGAAGCAAAGAATCCCAAAACAATGAGTTACAAGCGAACAATGCAATACTTTTGTGTGGGTGCGATTTATGTGGGACCTGTATTAACGATTTGGTACAAAATTCTACATAAGTATGTAGGAACTGAAGGAAAATTTTATGGACTGAAGAAAATGGCGATAGATCAGTTTGGCTTTGCACCATTTGGGATTGCGGGATTTGTAATCAGTACTGCTGTATTTCAGGGAAACTCACTTCAAGAAACTAAAAGAAAACTTAAAGAAGTATATCCTGCCATATTGAAGGCTAATTACACAGTTTGGCCTGCTGTACAGTTAGTTAACTTTACTTTGATGCCTTTGCAATACCAGGTCTTGTACCAGCAGACAATTGGCTTGTTGTGGAATACGTATATCTGCTATAAAACTAAACCAGATGATGATTAA